ACCCCTCCGTCGACACCGTCTGAAATGGTTCTTCCGCATCTTGGAAGAAGATACCGTGATAGGAAAGAAGCTTCGGCGGAAATGTTCCATCGCCAGGAAGGCTCCACCCTTCTCGGAATCTCCAAAATGAGTTTTTTATTATGAGACCCAATCACCGGGAAAGAGAAGAGAGTTGAGTCTTCTACTACTCCAACATTCATCTTGTCGGCAACTTTTTCGAAAAGAACACGGATGGACGATAGCCAAGTCGTACCTACACCCCAAAAAAGTCCCGCTGGTTCCCTTTGTTGCTTTTGGGATTTTCGTCGAACATGGAATCATCATGGATGAACGTCCGAATTTTCGTTAAGAGAACAGTGAATATTCCTGTACAATATGATGTTCAGAATTAGCTTCATTTCATTCTGGAAATTATAAAATTCCACAAAAAGTTTATAAAATGTAATTTTATGGAGAATCGGCACATTCCTCAGTGGCTCTCCAAGCAAATCCAACACGTTTGTTTCCATGGTCGAAGACAGTGTAGAATTTGCGGAGGAAGACGTCACCTAGGATCCACATGGGGCCTAAAAACCATTCATCACAAGAGTGTTAAAGAGTTTCTTCACAAGAGGCATACCGAGCGGAGGTGGAAGTTCAAGGCCCAAGAAGCCGAGTGTACAGGTCTGGTTGGTCTGAAAAAATTACAGTGGGGCTGGTACCTCCTCACCAGTTCAAGCCACAACCACACCCTCCGTTTACATTTGAGCTTGGCTATAGCTTAACATTTAGTCAATACCTGTACAACATAGTCTTGTCCTTCAAGAACAAAGTCCTGTTCATCGAGGGTGAAAACAATTGTTGGCAAAGTGGAGATGTTTTTACAGTCGATTTCATATGCACCTTCTGAGTTTGTTTTGGCTCCGGTTAGATTTTGGATCTGAAATTTTAATTAAAGAATGTTTAAAGCCTAAAGTCAACTCTGCATCACAGAATCACCTGTTGCACAATACTCATTGGTGCAGTTATAGTGGAAACTCCAGTGTCAACAATGGCTTCTTGTCCACCAGTAGTTAACGTCATTCCTCTGGTATATACTGGTCCTAATTGAATCCGCCACAATCTTTCGGCTATAAGAGGTACCCATGCGATGGTTCCCTAAAAACGGATTTTCTTCGGCATCAGAAGTTGACAGGTAAAGATTAAATGGTACCTCATAATGAGCCGGGTCGATGCCACAGATTGTGAGCTCTCCACCAATGCTTGGGTCGTTATTGCTTGGAGCCATGTAAAAAGCGAAAAGGGCTTCCGGGCACGTTTTCTGCAAGTTAAAAAAAGGAGATTATGCCCATTTTGACGTCAACATGAAACAGTATCCCGAATCCTGAAGCCTGCCAGCTACGTTCCATCACTACCGATCACATATGTGAATTCTTTCCAAAGGTACACTTCCTTGCTTCTTCATAAGTATCAGTTACGCAATTTCGCACGCCAAGGTGGATGAACGGACTCTGTATCCCACTCTGTGCTCTTGGGATCGTGCCTCTCGGGAAGCCCATGACATAATTCAGAGTTGTACCTCCTCAAATGGTAGGTTGGTGGTTTAGATGTCATCAAACGAGGTTCCAGCCAAAATTTAACAAAGTGCTCCACACTTCTGCCTACTCCAAAGACTTTTCAAAGTAACGCGCCTCCCGCAACCTCTTTAAGCTCTTTGATATGAATGTATGTAAAGTATTTCGTTACAGAGAACATTATAGAAAACATGTGTTTCCAGTTATTCTAGTTCAGATAAGCGTTGACTACATGTAATCTCCCTTGACCATTTGAACGTAATCGTAATTCCTTTTTGATTTTTTCGGGCGTACGTACCGTAGTGTCTGAAAGGATTGTCTAGAATACCTTATCGGCAAAAATTTGATCTAGAGGTGGTGAGATACTGCCTAACGCGTCTGATGTCCATGCCATTCCAAGAATGCCGTCGTATGCTTCGGTCTAAATCAAATGTACACATGCTAACCACATGTAGTGAACCGTTTAACTTCGTAGCAGGCTGTGCTTACTGCGAATTTCCCGGTCTCAGATGTGGCACAACCAAATCCCTGATTTCTGTTGGTACAGTAACTGCAAGGACACCCGAACTGCAAAAAAAAAGGAAATTTTGAGATGTCTTTCGTGTATGAGGAAGTAAAGACTTACGCAAACAATATCGTAGTCGACGTTTGCCTGAACAGTGCCGCTCCCATATTGTACCACGAACTGGTTGTTCGTACTGTTGCAAGTTGTCGATTTTTTGCAGTCGAACTAAACATAAAGTTGATGGGAACACTATATTCTAAGGCCAATGGCACGTCCCACCTTACGATGCTCTTGACAGGCTTTGTCGGTAGCATCGCAGCCCATGCACGGAACCCACAAATTTGCAGAACCAGTATCAAACTGCACTTGGAACTGCTGAGGAGGAGTACCAATATGGATGATACCGTAATAAGCCGACTGAATATTCAGTACTTTGAGTAGCTGTGAATGGAGGATGTTCATACACTTTTTCTTACATTCGCAGAATAGTTGAGGGGCAAGCTGATGCCCGTTGCATTGGTCGCATTTTCCGATGCAAACACGTAACCTTCAATGTACTTGTGCTTCAGGAATTCAGCAATTGCATGTCCATTAACAGATTTTTGCTCTTGGCTCGATTTCAGAACAGGCACTCTTAGAGGTAGGCTTTACAAAATTCTACCGCAATCCTTATGAAAAGTAGAACTCACCGCAAAAGTGCGTTAATGGTTGCACATAATGCAAGAAGTATGAACAGAAACTGTTCTCTCATAGTCTGCTCAAAGAAAATATTATTTTTAAGTGATAAAAGCATCCATAGAGAGCGGATGCGGGCTTGAGTGTAAAAGTTCATATGGCAAGGTGATTTGTAAATATCTGCGAAAAAGTTGCATTTTCACGTTTGGGTATGACCCCATTCGGAAAGCCAATTCTTGAGAGCCGGTCAATCTTCAGCTTGAGTAATTGTTGAAACATCGAAGCGGTGATGGTGAAATGTCGATTCATTCTCGTTTTTAAAGAGTAGGCTTTCACTTCGTGGAGAAAAAGAGTTGTTGGTTGTTCTCTTAAGCATCATCAACTGGTCTTTGAGCAACAGGCAGAATTGTTTTCAGGCGAAAAGCTTAAAAACAAGATGTTCGTCATATTAACGTGGATTCTACATTATGCAAAGATTTTCCTTTCGATGCGCTGGTCTCTGAGTCTCCTTCTGGGCTTTGACAGAACCAATCTTTGGTTGAACCAGTTGAGAGATGAGAACCATGAGGGAAATGTCTCGAAAGAAACCCATCCATGACCTAATTCCGGTACTTGATTTTGAAATATTCACTTATTTTGAGGAGACTTCACATGAAGTTATTACAAGCTGTTAGAACAAAGGATTGGCGTCTGGGACTGTCACATGTGCTTCCTTTCAGAGGTCAACCACATACTGTTCAGGATATCAAGATCAGGTAGAAGCCAGTAACATGTAGGAAAACTACCTGGACCCTGACAGTTTGGGTGGTGGCGCCCAAACTGAGAGCTCTCGCAGCGAAACCCACACCGTATTTTTAAGAGCTAGATCTTCCTTCCCACCACTTGAGCTTTCTTAATAGCCCATCAATTAAAATGGGCATTTCGAGCGACTGCTGGCAACTATAGAAATCTCATTAGTTTGCATAGAGCTACTGCCTAGTTACGAACAAGAGTTAATGAATCAACTGAATAGAATAGGCGGGGTTGCGGAAGGAATGATTTTGATCTCAACTGACATCCAGAGGCTTTTATAGAGGGAGACGTCGACTATAGTTATTGTCTCCTTTTGAGCCTCGCTACATTATTAGTTTTCCACTATTGTTGGGTGATCAAATTTTATTCTCAAGTTGGCTATTGCGAAATAGTTTTGCGATGTTTGAAATGTTAGCATGTATTTTCAAATTATTGACTAGGATGGACCCGTGATGTTGGCAGAGCAGAAGCGGGGGGAAGGGCGGATGTGGTATATATGTTCCAAGACGGAGGCTACGCTCGACTTCGGCTCGTCAAAACTAATGGCGGAGACTTTCACGGGAGCTAGGGCCATCCATCTTCTGCTTGTTGTAGTTTAAGGGAAAACTCAATCCTGATTATTTGGTCAGTACTTAGGTGAAGATATGCTTCATGAAGATCCAGAGGCAGATATGTATCAGGCAATTTAACCTCTTATGACGATGTTACATATTGAGAAGAGATTAGTGTCCAAGTCTGTGCCCCTTGAAGTCCGAAGCTTTTCGGTAGCAATCAGTTGTCCGTTTACCAATTTTGTAGAAAAATAGCTCACAAATATTTTGAGCAAAAAAACTCAATCGGCATAATTGAAATTAATACAGCTTCGAACTCGAATTAACACAATCTCGAATTGGCCAGTATTCAACGTCCGTAAAACGACCATCATCACACAAAGCTATTTTTCGAATCGCAATAAGGTCACAGGCTCGAGTACATTCATTTTAGTTTAATCCCCTCAGTATCGAATTCATGGAGATGCATTCAATGAGCAAAAAAAATTAAAATTTTCCACCGATTTCCACAAGATTGGTAGTTACTGCGAACAATTTTGTCTTCATATTTTTGACAGTAGTTTTTCCGCTTTTTTCATGTTTCCTTTGAAGCACGTTCTGCGGAAATGAGTGTTTGAACCATCGATTAATGGTTTCAGTGAATAGTACTCCGATGATCACGAAATGAGAAAGGCGCACGAAGCCCTTAAAAATGAGTTCCTTTTCACCTCTTCATCTTAAAATGACTTCTTCTGCCGCTTGA